CAAATCGCTTCTCGAACAGCCTTCTGGAACAAATTAAGTTTGAGAACTGAGATTTTAATAAAATGTTGGGCCAGTAAGTGACAGTTGCTCTTGTGTCTACTCCATTCCCAACGACCAGGACTCTGATTGGCTTAAAGCCCAGCCGTCTGTACATTCCAGCCAATCAGGAATTAGGTGAGCCATTGAAGCTAGTATTCTGAGTTTTAAAAAGCTGGCTGAGTACTGGGCATTTGCCTTTGCTCTCTTTCTAGGAGTGTAGAAGATTGGAGAACAGTGGTCAGCGGCTGCCTAGGTGCCTTGTGGTCTGATGCAGAGTCCCTCTGAGAGCCCATTTCTCCCCTACTCCACTAGTGTTTGGTCCCCTTTCTCCGTGCTGAGTGATGTGGAAGTTACTTAGAGGTCGTTACAGGTATTCTTTTAAACTGAATTTCAGCAGTAAGGGCAGGAATCGGAGTGTGTGCTATCCCAGTAGTCTATTCATTTTATTGGCTTCACAGTTTTTTCTCCTTTCCACCAGATCAAAATGGCAGTTCCTGAGTTTTATTCCACCGTTGGTTGGGGTGTGAGTGATTTGAAAATGGTAATATGAAGGGGAATATTTGACTTTTAAAGTCTGATTCTGAGACCTAGTATTCTTTTGGCATTTAACTTCACGTTTATGTGGGGAGGCGAGTCCAGACTGTCTTGATTAGCAAAGTGGTAACTCTTCTGATTCTGATATTAAACTTCGCCGGGGTTGGGGGTTGAGAGAGTAAGGCAAACAGGACCCTTTCTTTGAGGAATATCTGTCTTAAGACAGCATGCTCTTAGACAGTCAGCCACCTGTTGAACTAAGGAACCTAGAGAGCTTTGGAAGCAAAATACTAGTTGACAATCCAGATTCCCCGCATTGGTTCCCATACCTTCCCCCCCCCCCAAAAAAAAAAAAAAACCTTCAGAAAGCAGTCTTTCCTTATACCTCAGTTCTAGATTTTTTTAAATGTATTTTTTATTTCAGAGAGAATGGAGAGAGAAACATCAATGATGAGGGAGAATCACTAATTGGTTGCTTCCTGTACACCCCCTTCTAGTGATCAAGCCCACAACCTTAGCATGTGCCCTGACCTCCTGGTTCATAGGTCAGAGTTCAGCCTCTGAGCCATGCTGGCCAGGCAGTTCTAGATTTTTGCTGTCTTCATGAGTTGGGAAATGTCAAATAATTGGGAACCAAGAAATAGAAAATGGTGGGTTTGGGATATGTTATAAAAATAAGCCTCTGGCTAATTTTTAAAGCCAGTGACTTTTTAAAGCCAGTGTCCTGAGAATGGTTTCAGGGAAGCTTGTTCCTCAGAAGCAGCTTTATGGTTCCGTGTCCTTTCCCCAGTGGGAACTGAAGCTTGGGTGGGTTCCATAGGTCCTGATTCCTCCCTCTTAAGGAACTAGCATAATTCACAGTTCAGCTGTTTCCTATGAGACTGTCCTTCAGCCTACACTAATGGGATTTTTGTCCAGACTGTTTGGTTGCTCCATTTTTCCCCCCATTGAAAGAGGCAGAGCCAACTCCATCCAGCATGTTGCCTGGTGTCTTTCCCTACTTGAACAGTAGAGAGTGCTACTGCCTTGTTAGACTGTATTTGTGACTTTGGTCTCTCTGCCTCTCTTGAAGCTTCCCCCTGATATCTAGAGAGAACATTTTGAACTGGTATGATTATAAATTTTGTTCATCATCATCTTCCCTCTTTTGCTTGGGGGGTAGGCAGGTGTTTTAAAGTAAAAACAGATTTGTTTTTTATAGGAATTGAGTAAAGGAAGCTGGGTAGCCCACCTTTACTAGTTGGTAGCTGTTTTCTCTGACCTGTAATGAAGCCTTTACTTGCACTCAGTGTGCAGTACCTTGCATTAAGTCATGTATGGCTCCCACCTATCATTGTGAAACTCAGATTGTCAAATCACCCCTAGATTAGATAAGAAAGAGAATAATATGTATTTGATAAGACAAAATCAACCCTAGCCGGTTTGGCTCCGTGGCTAGAGTGTTGGCCTGCAGACTGAAAGGTCCCAGGTTCAATTCCAGTCAAGGGCATATGCCAGAGTTGTGGGGCCTATCCCCAGTGGGGATATGCAGGAGGCAGCTAAGCCAATCGATGATTCTCTCTCATCATTGATATTTCTATCTCTCCCTCTTCCTTCCTCTCTAAAATCAGTCCTCCTATATAATAAAAGGCTGATATACAAATCGGCCAAATGGCGGAATGACCGGTCACTCTTACACACACTGATGACCAGGGGGCAGACATTGAACACAAGAAGCTACCCCCTGGTAGTCAGTGTGCTCCCACGGGGAGTGCCGCTCAGCCAAAGCCCTGAGCCCGGAAGCCGTCAGTTGGACATCCCCCGAGGGCTCCCAGACTGTGAGAGGGCACAGGCTAGGCTGAGGGACACACATCCGCACCCCCACCCCCACACCAGTGCACAAAGTTCGTGCACTGAGCCTCTAGTAAAAATATATTAAAAAAAAAAAAAAGACAAAATCAACGTTAGGTTCCTGGGCTCTTTTACTCTCTCGTGAAGGTCAGAGCGCTTACAACATTTAACAGGCCCTGTGACCAGCCTTTGGGGACAAGAGGTTTCAATCTGTGGGAAGAGGAAGGAATTTCTACTCTGACACTGGCCACGATCCCATGAATTCTGAAGGGTGGAGGACATTTCTAGGTCAGCAGGCAACTTGTAAATCTGACAATAAAATAAATGGGTGCAACAATGATAGAATAAGGATGGCATTTTGGAAGTAGTAAACATAGTAGGAATGCACAATAATAGAATAAGGGTGACATTTTGGAAGTAGTAAATACGGTAGGAATGCAAGAATATTGTCTCACTGGCAGTATAAAGTATTATTCTTAATAGCCTGAGGGAAGAAAAGGGAAGATATCTTTTTCTAAGATTCTTCCTGCCAATAAAATAGTCCCTAAACACTCCCCTGTGCTAACAAAATAAATCATTTTGTCGTGAGTTTGGCAAAGCTAGATTTTTTTTCTAAGAAAATGAAAAGGAAAATATATTATTTTATTTTTTATAATATATATTATATAATTTATAATATATAATTTTATATCTATAATATATAAATTTTATTAATAATATATAATATATATTTTTATAATTATATTTGTATCTGTTTTGAATTAATTATTAATGCCATCATTGAAAGAGCTGAACTTTATTAAAAAGACATAATTCTAGCCAAATACTTTAAATAAATAAAAGCAGTGTGGTGTGTTTTTGTCATAGAAAAATGTATTCAGCATTTCCCAAGTTAAGAATGTTGCAGAATCATGACACTATGCTGGTCTTTATTTTTTGTGCACTGAGGTAAAATAAATAATCTTAAAATGTTACTGTGGGTGAAAGATCTCATCCCTATTTTAATCTACAAATGTATGTATATAAAGCAGTTCCAGAGTGAACCTAGCCATGTATTAAAAACTACCACCCAATGAATCCTGCATTAGTGAAAGCTGATTACATTTTCTAAATGCCCCTTTAATTGCTAAAAGATCTTACCTAAGTGCAAACTTGGAAGTATTTAGAGAGAAATGGAAATTCGTTAAGGACATCTAATTTGGGGCACAATGCAATGTCAACTGTGGTGCTTTAAATGTGTTTTTAATTTAGCTGAGCTGCAAATGGGCAGTTGGCTGATAATCATAAGCCCAAAGTGTCTGCTTTGATCATATGATGCTGAGCCCCGCTAAGACCTGTGTGAAGTGATTCCCTTGGCAGTGTTTGTTGGATTGGTTAGCATCTGTGATGAATGAGTGCTCACTTGGGAGAGAGAGAATGTACCTGCATGACCAGGGGACATACAGATTTTTAATGCACATGTGGTGTAGAAAGAAGCACAGACTTTCAGGGCTGCGCTTTTCCAGTTGACAAGGTTATTTGTGAAAAAAGACACATTTTAGAGTAGCAAAGCAAACCGAGAATGGAATGTATTCTCCTTAATTCTCCTTATCTATATCCGTCTGAGGGAAGGCTGACCCCAGCCCTTCAGCAATGAGCCTGTTATGGGAGAGCGTCCCATCATATGTCCAAAGAGGACAGTTTTTGAAAACCTTTTTTTCAGTAGCTGTTTTCATAAGAATTTGTTGCCAGCTATTAAAGTGAAAGAATTAATTTAGTGGAGGGGAGGTAAAGTCATTTCCAGCATCTCTTGGAAAATCAGAGAGATGAAGCTTATTCTGCTTAGAGTTGACCCAAGGATTGGGTAGGAAAAATTTGTTTTAATCCAAAAATCTCGAAACCAGCAAGATCTGGAGGAAAAATACATAGGACTGTATGAGTTAGGAAACCTGTGCAGTCACCTAATGTTGAGAGATACATGATTTTATCATAACCACTTCAGAAGGCCATTTCAAAGATCTTCATTAGAACTCCTTTGAAAATCTGAAAAAGTACTAGAGATAGAGCACAGCTGTTATGGCCAATTCTATATTTTTCTGGGGTATTATATTTCATGGTTTAGTCTGACTTTTATTTTGTAGACATAAAAGATAATCTGGCCGAAACCGGTTTGGCTCAGTGGATGGAGCTTCAGCTTGAGGACTGGGGGATGGGGTTGGGGGGAGGTGTGTATCCCAGGTTCAGTTCAGGTCAAGGGCATGTACCTTGGTTGTGGGGGGTAGGAGGCGGCTGATCAATGTTTCTCTCTCATTGATGTTTCTAGCTCTCTATCCTCTCCCTTCCTCTCTGTAAAAAAAATCAATAAAATATATATTTTTTAAAAAGATAATGTGTAGTTTAATGTCCCTTTTGGAGTCCTTTCCTTTTTTTTAGATTGTCCTGGTGAATGCAGTTAATCCTAATTCTTCCTTTCTCAGTACAGATGTGTTTTAGTAGGTATGTGTTGTGTCTTACTTGCTTATCAAACGAATTGACCTTGGCAGTGAGTAGAGTGACAGATGCCACCTCCAGATTGCCCTCAATTCCAGTGATAACCAGCTCTTTTCCTTCTTTTCCAGTCCTATGCCTTTGACATCTCATCCTTCAGTCCCTTTGCTGTAAGGGCACCGTGAACAGGTTCAACCCCTTCTCAGACCCCCAGGGCAGGATGTGAATGGATTTGACCCTGGAATTGTTTCTGGTGCAGCCTTGTTCAGTTCTTGCTGCTGCCATGCTGGGTTCCAAAGATCACTCTTTCCTTGACTGGCCTCGCAGGGTCAGGCCCATTGGGTAAAGCTTGTCTTGTATTTTGTGGGGAGGATCAGAACGGAGAGGTACTCCACTTTGGGCATTAGACCTGGAGGCAGAAAATAAGCGTTCAGTCTAAAAGCAGCACCAAGTGCCCATTGTTTAGGCAGCTGTTAATCAACCATGTTTCTATGAAAATAAGTCCTTTTCATGAGGCAATTGTGTGGGAATAGCTAATTCTGGCCTGATCTGTGCCGTGTGAGGTTAAAAACATGGTAACTTGTCACAACACAATTCTTCTTGTTCTTTCTGCTGTGGGCTGACTCTACATTACTTGCTTTGTTTGCTCTAGAATGGCATCTACTCACCATTTACTAAAATGAAATGCATTTCTTGGGGGAGGCAAAGTCCAGTTCACTAGGTCTCGCATCTTAAAGGAGCCCTGCTCTCTCTCTGACTAATCGTAAGAATGTCATTTTGCTTATTTAAATGCAGGTTGCAGTTCTGGAGTTGGGTTTTATATGTTGGGCTGTTTTTTTGTCTTAGTTTAAAGAAATTCATGTTCATTGCCTATGTCTTGTTCCTGAAAGTACAGATTAACTTTTAACCTTAGGCAATAGGTAGAGGTGGTGAACATTAAGAGAAAGCATAGCATGGTACAGAGTGGAATCTGGTAGGTGTGAGTTGACAGCCTGACCTTGGGCCAATCCCCCCTCCCCCCCAACCTTATTTCCTACTTTGAAAAATGGGAATAATGTATGGAAAGTACCTGGCCTCAGTGATTATTACTAACCTTCCACCGAAATCACCCTTTGCATTTTTACTAGAAGCCCTCGCTGAACTCACTAGCCTCCGTGGGATTAGTGTTTTGTGCAAGGCCACCTTGCAGCAGCTCTACAGATTGTTTCACCTTTGACTGGCAAGCTTTAGCCTGCTGACACGTCTATCCAAGTGCTTAGATGCCTTTGGTTTTCCTCAAGAATTTGTGTATTCTTAGCCACTAGCTAGCTGAAGAAATGGCTAGATCTTTTTGGGCACAATTTTGGACCTGATATTTCCTTTGAATTTACTACTCCATTTCTTCACATGAATTTGACTCAACTTCTAAAATCCAGTGTTGGGGAAGCCCTTTCTTCAACTCTCTTGGCATGTCTGCTCTGACAGGATAGGCTGCTCATGGTTTTTATATAGTGCTTGGTTCACTTAGAGTTACAGGGTGGTGCACACCATGTAGAAAGATTGCCATTGGTCCCACAGTCTTGTGGTTGGGGATCCTTCTTGACTTTCAACAGCACATGGCAGTAGGGGTGAGTCGATTAAATGTTTGCCCAAATATAGCAGGCTAATTTTTTTCAGACTTTTAATATGTTTTTATTGATTTCAGAGAGGAAGGGAGGGAGAGAGAGAGAGAGAGAGAGAGAGAGAGAGAGAGAGAGAGAGAGAGAGAGAGAGAGAGAAAGAGAGAGAGAGAGGAACATCAGTGATGGGAGAGAATCATTGATTGGTTGCTTCCTGCACACCCCCAGTGGGAGGATTGAGTCTGCAACCCAGACATGTACCCTTGACCGGAGGCCAGTCCACAGGCCAGTTCTCTAACCACTGAGCAAAACCGGCTAGGGTTATAGCAGGCTAATTTTTAAAAATACATCTTTTTTGATTTCAGAGCGGAAGGGAAAGAGAGAGAGAAAACATCAATGATGAGTGAGAGTCATTGACCGGCTGCCTTCTGCACACCTTCTACTAGCGATCGAGCCCACAACTTGGGCATCTACCCTGACCGGGAATCAAACCAGGACCTCCTGGTTCATAGGTCTGATGCTCAACCACGGGGCCACCTGCGGGCAGGCTAATTTTTAAATTGATAACATTTGTATGGCCCGAAAATGAAGTTATAAAGTTGGTCTAATGGCACAACTTCAAAAAAAAAAAAAATGTATGTTGGGGTTAAGGCAGAAATTCTGATATTACCCAATTGGTGGTTATACAGGGTACTACAGGGATAGTAGAGGGGGACAGAAAGTACCCACATATGTGTGATGGGCAGAGGGAACTCTGGTGGGTGGATTTTTAGAGCATAGCATTACAGCCTATATCTCATATGTCCCTGTCATCCAGGTCTTTGCTGTCACTCTGTTTTCTGTCTTAAACACCAATATGCTGTGCTTTTAACCCCTTTGCCTTCTGTTTTTGCTCTGCTTGTCCTTCCAGTGACAAGTAAATCGTTAAAACTCAAAGGATATGACCCACTTTACATTGAGAAATGAGTTGCCCTGAATGAAATTATCTGTAGCTCATTTTTTGTAAGTTCGCTAAAGTGGCAGCAGTTGTGACACAGTGGAAAGGAAGTAAATATATAAAGATTCAGTTTCTGTGTCTAAATTTGCCTGTCATGAGGACAGTGACTTCGGGTGGGAGTAGTGAGGCAAGGCAGGTGACATGAGAGAGTTTTTCTTAGTTTAAATATATCTAAGTGACAAAAAATAACATCTGAAGACCATGGATTCCTTCATTAGCACCTCTTTTTGACCCATCAGCCAATCGAACAAATCTGTAAATTCCTTCCAGTGTCACACTGACTTTCAGCTAAATGTGCCTTGCGGGCTGTAGACCAAAGATTGCTCCATGGGATTAAAGAGGTGATTGCCTAGGTATAGAGAGTAACATGATTCTCTGTCTCTCTCCTTTTCAGGGAAGCGGAGTCTTTCAAGGAACAAGGAAATGCATACTATGCCAAGAAAGATTACAATGAAGCTTATAACTATTATACAAAAGCCATAGGTGAGATGGACCTAGTGCTTATGCTGGAAATAATTTGCTAAATACTGTTATAAATACCGTATTTTTCGGACCATAAGACGCTCTGGACCATAAGACGCACCAGTTTTTAGAGAAGGGAAATGAAGAAAAAAAGATTCTGAAACAAATAGTGTCCTAAAATATTTTATGTGCATTAAAACCCAACATCACAGTCATAAACACATGTAATCAACCCTGTAAAGTAAACAGCAGCATTTAGAACCATTTTAGAGCCGGGCAAGCACACAGAGACCACACAGAGCCGGGCAAGTAAAAAAACTTTTTTTTTTAAGTACATGTGTAGGCTATATTTGGACCATAAGACGCAGGGACTTTCCCCCCCCACTTCGGGGGGGGGGGGGGAAAAGTGCGTCTTATGGTCCAAAAAATACGGTAGTTCCTCTCTAAGAAGTAGCATATCTTCAAGGTTAATGGCCACACAAGGGGAATTACTTTTTAAAAATTATATGTTTCTATTGGTTTTTAGAGGGGAAGGGAGAGAGAGAAACATCAATGAGAAAGAAACATCAATTGGCTGTCTCCTGCACTCCCTCTACTGGGGACCAAGCCCGCAACCTGGGCATGTGCCCTGACCAGGAATTGAACTGGGGACCTCTTGGTTCTTGGGTTGATGCTCAACCACTGACCCACACTGGCCAGGCAGAAATTGCTTTTTCTAACTTAAGTGGATGGTAGTTCTTCTAGGAAATTAAAAGCAACTCCAGAAATTCTAAATTTTACAGCAAAAAGATGGCCACCTGAATGCATTTCAGTCATTGCCTTTTGAACAATTTGTCAACATATTTTAATCCCATGTTAGCATTTTTCTTACCCCCAGATAAACAAATGCAAATTCATTTTCATATCTAATTATATAAAACACAGTCCAGTAAGAAAATAAATATACTGACCCCTATTCCAAAAGATCATTAATGCACTTTAAAGCTAAGCTTAATGCCGTGTTTTATTTTTCAGTTGCACTGCTGCTGTCCATTTGCACGGGTAGTCAAAAATCTGAAGGTGGCTGTTTAAAGAGTGTCGTCATTCCTACTATAGTTTGATATAGTTCTGTAGGAGTGGCCCTTGAGTTTTTGGGCAATGACCCACTCTGAACCTTGTTTTACTTCTTTCTTTTCCTGCAGACATGTGTCCTAAAAATGCTAGCTATTACGGGAATCGAGCAGCCACCTTGATGATGCTCGGAAGGTTCCGGGAAGCTCTCGGAGATGCGCAGCAGTCAGTGCGCTTGGATGACAGTTTCGTCCGGGTATGTAACGGGCTCTGGGGAGGACTGAGTTGCTGCAGTTGACTTCTAGCCCAGGGGTTTTCAGTGTTAACACCATTGATATTTTGGGCAGGATCATTCTTTGTTGTGGGGTTCTGTCTTGTGCATTGTAGGATGTTTAGCAGCATCCCTTCGCTGCCCCGCTGTAACAGTCAGACATGTCTCTGACATTGCTGAATGTCCCATGGGATGCAGAATCAGCCCTGGCTGAGAACCACTTCTCCAGCCATTTTCATCCCATGCTGGTTTTTTATTTGTGTTTTTTCTAAAAATATATTTTATTGATTTTATTTACAGAGAGGAAGGGAGAGGGATAGAGAGTTAGAAATATCAATGAGAGAGAAACATCGATCAGCTGCTTCCTGTACACCCCCTACTAGGGATGTGCCTGAAACTGAGGTACATGCCCTTGACCAGCATTGAACCTAGGACCCTTCCGTCCACAAGCCAATGCTCTATCCACTGAGCCAAATCGGTTAGGGCCATGTTGGTTTTGTGTGAGTGAGTGTTGCTGCTGGTGATTTCTGTCTGCTTGGCCACTCATACTCCTTTTTTCCTTCTTTGTGTTTCTTCTAGGGACATCTACGAGAAGGCAAATGCCACCTATCTTTAGGGAATGCCATGGCAGCCTGTCGCAGTTTCCAGAGAGCCCTAGAATTGGATCACAAAAATGCTCAGGCACAACAAGAGGTATGGGTCTGATCCTGTCTGTGTTAGAGAGGGCAGGAATAGTAACTGAGAGTCAGAACTGACATCCAGTCTCACTTCTGCCATCAGCCACACCTGGGTGACTGCAAGTTTCATAGTCTCTCTGAGCCTCGGCTTTCTCTGTCAAAGGAGTGTTTTTTAATTTTATTGAATTTAGAGAGGAAGAGAGAGCGAGAGATAGAAACATCATTGATGAGATAGAATCATTGATCCACTACCTCCTGCATACCCCCTCCTGGGATTGAACCTGGGAATGGAACCAGGGACTTCTTGAGCCATACAGGCCTGGCTCAAAGGCGTTTTGAATATGATTTTACAGCTTTAGAAATCTTTGCAAATTGGAGGGTTTCTGAGATTGCTAAGGGAATAGACAGATGCACCAGGGAACTGATTTGAGCAAGGCTAAAGAATTTAGTAAATTTAGCCCAGGCAGTGTGGCTTGGTGGTTGAGAGTTGACCCATAAACCAAGAGGTCACTGGTTCAATTCCTGGTCAGGGCACAGACCTAGGCTTCAGGTTTAATCCACAGTAGAGGGCATGCAGGAAGCAGCCAATCTGTTTCTCTCTTTCACTCCCTTCCTCTCTCTCTAAAATTAAGAAAACGTGTTTTGTTTTGTTTTTTAATTAGTACATTCAAATCCTGGTTAAATTTGTAGCAGCTGAAACATGTTTTATTTCCATCTCCATATATGCTCAGTTTACCCATGGGTATATTTTTGTGAGTATCTGCAAGTTTTTTGCTCAGTCCCTGACAATGCCTTGCCTTTATTTTGTATATATCAAGGCATGATTCTTGTATTCCTGAGTTTCTAAGTTCAAATTGAGGGTAAGATTTGGACCTTGGCTTTCTATTAAGGTGTTTGGCTGTATCTTCACCAACTTGATTTGTGAAAAGTCCATGGTTTTGATTTTCTTGAAATAACACAGTCATTAGCCTTATTGATTTTTGTGGTGGTTGAATCTACATCTTTACTAAAACTTTCCTTTGTCTGATTTTCTTGTGTAGTTCAAGAATGCTAATGCAGTCATAGAATATGAGAAAATAGCAGAAACGGATTTTGAGAAGCGGGATTTTCGGAAGGTAAAGTGGCAACTATGAGGAAATCTTATCTATTCTGTCTCACAAAGTGCGTGTGTGTGTAAGTAAGGAGAGAGAGAGAGAGAGAGAGAGAGAGAGAGAGAGAGAGAAGCATAGTACAGAAGATCTAGAATAATACATTTAATTTGACCTTTTCTTTCTTTTTTTAAGACATCATTTCTTTTAGAATAGCTGTAGGTTCACAGAATAATCAGGAAGAAGGTAGGCACAGAGATATCTCATATGCTCCCTGCCCGTACACAGCATAGCCTCCTCCTCTGTCAGCATCCCTCCCTGGAGGTACATTCGGTACAACCAGGTTTTTGGCAATTATGAATAAAGCTTCTATAAACATCCATGTGCAGATTTTTGTATGGACATTTTTTAACTCCTTTGGGTAGATGTTAATTGTAATTGCTGGATTATATAAAAATATGTTTAGTTTTACAAGAGACTGCCAAAATGTCTTCCTAAGTGGCTATACCATTTTGCATTTCCACCAGGAATGAATGAGAGTTCCTATTGTTCCACATCATCACTAGCTTTTAAAATTACATTTTACTAAGGTTCTTTTTTGTTAATTATACTTGGCTTTATGATGATAAAAAGCAAAATGAATTTGTTACCCAAGTTCCTGTTTTTCATATAAGATAGTGGTCTAAAAATGTGCTTTTAGGAAAAAATGAGGAAAAGCCAGTTGGAATTAAATACTGGGTTTGGATAATCTATTTTTAAATGCATTTTTATTAATTTCAGAGAGAAAGGGACAGGGACGGAGAGAGAGAAACATCATGATGAGAGAGAATCATTTAATTGATCGGCCACCTCCTGCACATCCCACACTGGGGATCGAGCCCACAACCTGGGCCTGGGCCGTGACTGGGAATCAAACTATGACCTCCAGGTTCATGAATTGATGCTTAGTCACTGAGCCATGCCAGCCGGCGTCTGTTTTTATTTGAATAATGAGCGCTATTTTTAACTCCTGCTTTATGGGAGCTTGATGGAGCTAGAAATCAAAACTAGGAGAGGCCCCTATTACATTTTGAATAGTATATGTAACCTGACATCACTGCCTTTTTGATATTAGGCCTTTCCACAAAAGCAGACTACTGCCCTTTATGGAGCTGTGTGATAGTTCATGGAAATTTTTAAATCCAAAGGGGTTGGCAAATCTGAAATATGGGAAAAGTGTAAAAGCTGTAGGTATCTTTCTAAACGTTATAGTAGTTACGCCTCCTCTGTATAATAACTCCTAACACCCTTCTTTAGATGGTACTCAGAAGTAGCTTTCACTAGAGTTTCAAAAGAGGAGATAAAGGACTCCCAAAAAGGTTAAAAAACACTGATCAGGTTTGATTTTCAGGATCACTTAAATGATGTTTATGAGTACCATCCAAGGAACGGAGATGTCGCTTTATGTGTCGGAATTTGCTTGGTGCTTTCTGCAGTAGGTACTCAATAAATGTTTGACAAAATTGTACAGTTAAGAATTATTCTTTTGGTGTGTGTGTTTTTTTTTATTTAATTAAATTTATTGGGGTGACATTGTTCAGCATGAACATACAAGTTTCAGTTGAATAATTATTCCTAAGTCACACACTGTGAAGGTCTTTTATTTGGTAACACATATATATGATTAGCTTATGGAGAGTCCTAGCATTAATTTATTTAGCATCCCTCTTCTGTCCGTTGGTTTTAATAACCACGGTGTCTTTGGTAGTGTGATTTATACATTCATTTTTTTTAAATTAGTGTGTGTGTGTGTGTGTGTGTGTGTTTGGAAAGCAGTTCTGCATCTTGTCATGTTTTCTGAGGTTTACACAGGCAAAAACTTTGTCTCAAAAGGCGGCCTTTGGTTTCATTTCTCCCTTGCCCGCTCTGGAACCAGAACCCCCATTTTGTGACAGAATCCTCTGTTTGTGACATCCCAGCCCCCCGCCACTGTAGCTCATGGTGATGTCACAAATGAAGAATTATGATCTTGGCAGGGGGAACAGATGAAGTTAGAAGAAACAAAGATCTTCTTTGCTTGCAGCTGTCCCTAATCATGGGGAGATGGGGGTGGGAAGTGAAGCACTGAGCCTCTGACACTCCCCATGATGACAGAACCATCTCCATACAGAACGTTGTGAAAGCAGCAGGGTGTGGCTGCTGAAATTTTGACTGACTGCTCTCCACCCCCATTCTTTTCCGTTTAAAGAGGAAAAATTAATACCATGACTTCAATGCATAATGCCTGAATTTTCATATTGTCCTTAGAACTTCCAGGATCTCTACCGCTGCTCTTTTAGTTCTGCAGAAAGTCTTCCCAGTGCAACAGCTCATGGTGTTTATTTGCTTCCCCAGATTTTTAAGTTTAATTTTCAAGTGGGTGGTTTTTGTGGTTTAAAAGCTAGAAAGAATAAATACATTCAGTGTTAAATGTTGCCTCAACTTATCCTCCATCTGCCTCAATCTCACACCTCAGTAACCACTATTCTTGTTTGTTCTAGTTCCTTCCATACATAAGCAAATACAAATATAGATTCTTAATTTTCTTTTTCCTTTTTTTTTTTTTTTTTTTTTTTTTTGTATAAAAGGTAATACGCTCTACATGGTTCTGTACTGTTGACTAGACCTTCAAAGTCCTTCCATATTAATACATGGAGAACTTGCTTCTATTTTAGAGCCACATCATATTCCGTTATATGAAGTTCTGCATTAGTCTCCTGTTCATGGAATTTGAGTTATTGCTGCTTCCAAGTTTTCAAACTTCATCTCTTCCTGATCCCTATGGCCAGATTTTTAGAGGAAATGAGTAGCTCTTAACTCCAGACTTCGCCTTTGGGTCAGTTATTCTTGGAGAAGAATATGATTCAGCAAGGATATCCCAGGAATAGCAGCTAAACCCAAAAATGAAAGCTCGGAGAACAAACTTCTAAAAAGAAAAAATAGAAATCTATGGAGAGCCTTTATGAAACTGAAAGAGAGAACCAATCCCCGCTATATGCGAGTGCATGTGTTGGGGGGGGGGATTCTTGGCTTTTGGTTTGTATAGCACCATGTTGAACATATGGTTTATTTCTGACCATTTTACATAAATTGTTTCATTGGCATATTTCTCTACTCAAAAGTGGAAGAGTGGTCACTAGGGTACTCTGAGATTTGCGGTTCCTGACACAGGAGAGAACTGTGAGCAATGATTCCGTACTAAGTTATTTTTGGTACTACTTCTTTTTAAAAATACATATATTTTATTGATTTTTTTACAGAGAGGAAGGGATAGGGATAGAGAGCTAGAAACATTGATGAGAGAGAGTCATCGATCAGCTGCCTCTTGCACACCCCCCACTGGGGATGTGCCCGCAACCAAGGCACATGCTCTTGACCGGAATCGAACCCAGGACCCCTCAGTCCCCAAGCCGACGCTCTATCCATTGAGCCAAACCGGTCCCAGCAAGAAGAATGTGAGTTTTTGATCCTAGTCATTGTGGATATGATTCACTGTGGAGGCAGCTTAGCATGGTGATGAGGGTATAGGCTCTGGAGTCTTAGTGTTTAAGATCAAATCCTGTTTCCATTGGTCACTTTGAATAAGTTATTTAATCCCTGTGCTTTAGTATTTTCATCAGTAAAATAAGAATAATATTACCTACTTTATAAAATTGTGTGAGCATCAAATAAGTTAATATACAAAGTACTGTTAAATATTTGCTGTCATCTGGATCAACTGCTTTCCTCATTTCAATGGTTTAATCAAATGAATTATGTATGTTCTTAAACTGATATGTCTCTCCTTTGAATCTATTACCTGTGACAAAACTAAAATGAAGACGTTTCTGGAGTCCATGGTGAAGAACCTTATTTGCTTTCTTCCTCCCTGTAGGTGGTTTTCTGCATGGATCGTGCACTAGAATTTGCTCCTGCTTGCCATCGCTTCAAAATCCTCAAAGCAGAATGTTTAGCAATGCTGGGTCGTTATCCAGAAGCACAGTCTGTGGCTAGGTATGAATTTAGGCCAGTACTGCATTGAAAAGTCAGATTCTACTAGATAGGTGCTGTCTATAGCAATAGCTACCATGTGTCCTGAAGGTAAGCCAGGGGGCTGACCAGACCTTTCTGGGACTTAAAAAAAACAAATATTAGACTAAATTTGAAAACCTATAAGGAATATAGGAATATAGTAAGTGAGCTGTATGTGAAAGAACAGGTGTGTGAATTTTAGTTTTTATTTATATTTATTTCTTTAATGTTTGAATTGATTTTAGAGATAGGATGGGAGAGGGAGAGAAACATTGATTGGCTGCCTCCTGCACACCCCCTACTGAGGATTGAGCCCCCAACCCGGGCATGTTCCTTGACCTGGAATCAAACCCATGACCTCTTGGTGCATGGAACAACCCTCAACCAACTGAGCCACACTGGGAAGAGCATAGCTTTTATTTTTTAAATGTCCTTTTCTGTCTATTCCAGGGATTTTTAAATTCTCTAAATATAATAAATATTTCAAGCTTTGCAAGCTATGTGGTTTATATTGCAATTGTTCAGCTCTGCCTCTATAGTGCAAAAGCAGCCATAGAGAGTGGATTAGTGAATGATGTGGCTTGTTGTCAATCAAATTTTATATACAAAAACTGGTGACAAACAGGATTTGGTCCTGTGGGCTGTAGTTTGCTAACACCTGTTTTAGTAAAGATTGTGAGACATGTATGTGTTTGGGAAAAATCCTTGGGAATCTGTCTACCTTTGGATACTTCCATGTTAGACACATGGTCAAGAGGAAAAATCCCACAAATAAAATAGTAATGGCAGGGAAATCCAAACCACAGCTAAATGTGCCCTCTTTCTTTCTACGGCAGTGACATTTTACGCATGGATTCCACCAATGCGGATGCTCTGTATGTCCGAGGTCTTTGCCTTTATTATGAAGATTGTATTGAGAAGGCTGTTCAGTTTTTTGTACAGGCTCTCAGAATGGCTCCTGACCATGAGAAGGCCTGTGTTGCTTGCAGAGTAAGTTCTAGGCACCAGATCTATGTGGTAAAGAAAGCCTTTATGAGTTTTGGAATGGAAGGTTTTAGAATCACAGGAATGCTTGGTCCTTTTAGTAGCAAGATTTCAGGAGAGCATTTGAGATCTTGCTCCCTGGCATATGTCATCAGATTGACTCAGATATACTCTTATGAAAATTCTCTAAATTAAAAAAAAAAAAAGGATTTCAGAACTACTCTAGTTTGCCTAAAGATACATGTGATCAGATAGGTTAATATTTAAGTGTTGTTTTTTTGTTTGTTTGTTTGCTTTTTCTTCCCTCGTGAAGAAAGGGTAGTAATGCTTATCCTGGGGAGAAGAGGTAAACCCTGGGAAACACAGTTCTCCTTGGTATTCTTTTATAAATCTAGATTTCTTCTGTCCACTCTGTAGGAAGCACAGTGAAGAACAAATAGCTCAGGGGGTGGGGTGGGGTGGGGTGGGATGGGGGGCTGTGTGATGCTGAACTACTGGGATCAAGAAATAGAAAATAGGGTAGTGTCTGTGCAGGGGTCTGAGGCTTTCTGGAGGTGAACTGACCTTCCCCTTGCTTTTCTCTATAGAATGCCAAAGCACTGAAAGCAAAGAAAGAAGATGGAAATAAAGCCTTTAAAGAAGGAAATTACAAGCTAGCATATGAACTGTACACAGAAGCCCTGGGGATAGACCCCAACAATATAAAAACAAATGCTAAGCTCTACTGTAATCGGGGTACGGTTAACTCCAAGGTAAGCACTCGGTCTGGGCACCTATGGAGATGCTTTTAAGGGACATGGAAGAGGTCTTGGGAAATCTCCCCACTGAGGGTAACCCAGAAGACAGGAGGAAAAGTTGTTTGATTGGTATCTCAGCTTACTAAGAACTTATATAAAGTTCTTATCTTTTCTGTGGAACTTAGGGGCACTTGAGGAACGATGTAAGGTCCTTTTCTTCCAGAGAATGGCAGGAGTCTGCTACAGTTGTTGAAGCAAACATTGTTGCTTCTTTTTGCCTAAGCAAGTGACTCTCTATGAGTGATTTGGAGGAAATGAGTATGAGGCAGGCTTGTGTTTTTTCCTTCAGCATAACTGATGGTCACCATGCTCAGTGGAAAATAGAGTGTGCCTGTAGTCCTACACATGGTAGAAATAAGAGTAGGCTCCTTGCAGAGTTCCAATAGTTGAAACCCCCAGTAATCATGATCCCTCTACTTGGTCTCTAGAAAAATGGGGGGCAGGAACCACCCTTACTGTGTCCACTATTGACCACTAACCTGGGAATAGTAGAGGTGGTTTTATTTTTGCAGATAAGTGTGCCTGGCTTCTGTTACGTAGAGAAGAAACCAATTTCAAATTTGGGGGCCTTAGCCCACTGAGATAGAGACTTTCTCAGGGACCAAGAACAAGTGTGACAGTTGGGGAGCCAGCATGACTGGTTTGCTTAGAATTTTGAAGCCATGCTTTCAGCTTCTGGGCTCCCTTGATCACCACCATGTGAACTATGACTGCTCTCTCTCTCCTGAAGCTTAGGAAACTAGATGATGCAATAGAAGACTGCACAAGTGCAGTGAAGCTCGATGACACTTACATAAAAGCCTACTTGAGGAGAGCTCAGTGGTGAGTGCCTCTGCTGTGTGGGGGGAAGAGGGAGTTGCTGCTGGCCTGCCAGGGGAATTGCATTATGGATGATGAAGCAGACCCGGGGATGTTGTGAGGTCATTTGGTCCTTCCCCCTGCCTCTAGGTGGGATTGTTCCAGCCCTAAACTATGTTTATAGACCTCCAGCGGAGGAGATTGCACAAGCTCCCTCAGTCTCCCATGCCTGTGTCTTACGCCCCTCACGGTCAGTAAGTTTCCTCTGATGCCTGACCCAAATACCTTTTGTTAAAGTTTAAATCCATTTTCTTGGAGATTTTGTTTTGTGTTGTACACTTTTGCTCTAACTTGGCACAGTGCTTGGCACACAGTAAGTGCTCACTCAATAAATGTTGAATGAATGTATGGTGTTCGGAAGAAGAAGAATCTTGGAGACAGTTGAGAGTCTTGCTTAGCTTATTTGTTTGGGTTAGGAAAGACAGTCTTAAAGTTAGAAGAGATTTAATCTAGCTCACCCTCCCAGCAGTATAAGGAACCCCCTTTGAAAATACCCATCTGACTAGCTGATTTCCGAGCCAGGATATGCCTGCTTCTAGTGCCCAGAGCTTACTTGTTCATTTTAACTCGTGGGCCTACCAGAGTCTTCTTCATACAGGAATATTAATTAGCAAGAGCTAGGAGAGACCCCTTTCAAAAATTAATCTTACTTATTTATTTATTTTTAAATCCTCACCTGATGATATGTTTAGAGAGGGGGGAGAGATGTGACATCCATCAGTTACATCCTGTACATGTTCCAACTGGGGATGGAACCCACAACCTAGTTATGTGTCCTGATGGGAAATGGATTCCACAACCTTTGGTGTACAGGGTGATGCCCCAACCAGCAGAGCCGCTCAGCCAGGCAGATCTATCTTTTTTCAGATTCTTTCCCAGACAAAGAACCTCCCATTTTTTACATTTCTAATGGAAGACCCAGTTGTTGTATACTACCTTCCATTGCCCCTTCAGTCCTTGTTATGAAATGTCATTTCTAAAGAGTAGGTGCTGCACTGATGCTGGTGAACCTATCATTCTTTAAGTCCCAAGTCTCATCAGTGGTACAGCAGGTGGCCTACCTCCCATTTAGTTTTCCCAAAATTATCCACATTTTTAAAACTTGGAAAACTGCTACTGTGTGGGGAAGGGTGAGGGTGTTGTTTTGTGAGTTTTGAAGTAGAGGACTAAGTCCATGAAACAGAAACAAATGCAAAGTTGTAGATTGTATGAGACCAACTGTAAAGATGTCCGTTATCTCACTTTTACAAACCACTGACAAATATGGAACCTTCAAAAGATAAACGAGGCTAAATAAAAGCGGGTTGGCTCAGTGGATAGAGTGTCAGCCTGAGGACTCAAGGGTCCTGGGTTCGATTCCAGTCAAGGGCATGTACCGTGGTTGCAGACATATCCCCAGTGCAGGAGGCAGCTGATCGATGTTTCTCTCTCATTGATGTTTCTAACTTTCTATCCCTTTTCTTTCCTCTCTGTAAAAAATCAATAAAATATATTTTTTTAAAAAGAAAAAGAAAGATAAGAGTACCCTTTGACCTAGCTAAAGACTTACTTTAACAGATGCAAAATGCTGTATACTTGTTTACTACAGTTTTAACTAATAGCTAAAATGAAGAATTATCTTTATGTCTAGATACATGATACTGTAATAGCGAGAGAATAGTCTTGATTTGTTAGGAGGAGGAGGAATGGCGGTTATTTGTTTCATATGGGTACAATAAATAAAATAAAGAGACATATCATCTTTGTGGAAGAAATAAAACTGTCCTCTTGAGTGGCTCTGTTTTTGAGATCCCACCAGAGAGGGGCAGCAGAACTGTTTGGCACAGATGGCTGAGAATTTGGCCCCAGTCCCCACAAGAAGAACGGGAGATTAGCTCAGACCAAGGGGCCTGATTATTGTCCCAGTCTGCCTCAGTTTGTCCCTAAAGTTGGGGAGATATCAGATCTTTGCTATATCTCCCATCATGAGCTGGCATTTCCCATTTTTCCTAAGGCTTTGCTTGCTTTTCTACTTCAACTTTTAAAAAAATGTTAATGTAAGAATGTCCTAGAATTTTTTTTTTTTTATTAAGTGTGAGGTAAAATGCAAATCACTGTAAAACCAGCTTGTTGAGCACGTCACATATGGATCTGGAAAGTTCATCAAGGTTGCTTGTCAGATCATTCTACACCCAGGGCTATCAGTTACCAATTTTTTTTCACTTCAGTTTATATTATACTTCATCCTGTAAATGGGTTCTCTGAACTCCTAATAGCATTTGTTTTCGTAGGTCATGGTTTACCACTTTTTAAAGGCATAAATCAAGATGTTGACAGAAAGTCAGAGATGCCTCAGCAGTTGGGCTTCTCTCTGGCCAGCCACATAAGCAGCACTCCCTCTGCCTGGCCTGTAAGCCCAGTGGGCTCCTTGATGTTTGGGAAGATGGGCCTGTGTGGGAGCATTGGAGCAAATTGAATCTCTGTTGTGCAGCAGCCAGCTGCAAATAATCACTTCCCACTCCTCAACTGACGTGTCTGTCTCTACGACTCTTACCGCAGTCTGTATAATTGGTGCCAGAAAGAATGCCCCCTTTGCTTCTGTGAAGAAACACTTAAAAAGGTCTGGCAGTCAGCCTATTGAAAGCTAGATTCCTCCCATCGTGGGCCAGGGCCCCTCCTTTCTTCTGCACTATCCACATGGGAGCAAGCCTGAGCTTAGAGTGTCCTTTGCTGTCTCACCTACATCTCTCAGGTTGATCGGTCTTAATGGAAGCATTTGCCAGTGGCCACCACCTTGACCTTGATCCTTCTAGTGGCTCACTAATCCCGCTTCCACTCTGGATTGAAGCTGGCCCTGCATGTTGCTGGCACGCTGGGTTTCAAAGCTCTTCCATATCCATTTATCTCACTTGATAAATTGTCTTATGTGTTATAATCTCAAGTAATCAAATGGCTGCTTTCACATTGCCTTTCCTAAGGCAGGCCAGATGCCTCTGGGTGGCTCTATGATATCAAAAGGAAGTTCTCTTGGTTGCTTTCTGCTCAGAGCAGACTCACTTTGTGGGTTGGGTGCAAGTGGCATGAGACTTCTCTATTTTTCTCAAGGAAGCCTGGTAGTTAATTTTTTCTTGCTAGGTTAAGGACTCCTGTTTCATGAAGCATCTCAACCAAAAGTCTATGTCTCATGCTTGAGCCATGCCTCTTCCTCTCGAGTGATACTGAAGGCCATTGCCATTTATGTCACTCTACTGCCCTGTATTTCCTTCTCAGTTACATGGACACAGAACAGTATGAAGAAGCAGTGCGGGACTATGAAAAAGTGTATCAGACGGAGAAAACAAAAGGTAAAGGTATTTGGGAGCATGCTTCTCAGGAAACGGTGTGGCCTTACTTGTAGGCCCTAAAAACTGGACACGGGTAATTTGATTCAGGGATTAGCTGGAGCTTATTCGATCACCAGCCAGGAAGAAGTGAACAGAAATCCTGAGTGCAGAACAAGGCATCTATTTTTCTGGTCCCAAATCTTGCCTGTTAATTTCACAACCTTTTCTATGTGATGAGACTGATGTGAGAAACTCTTAACTATGAGTAGATTTTTTTAATCTCTAGGCGGGAAACACACCATAAAAGCCCTGGTATAGTTAACAAGGCTACTGACTCAAAGACATCTGGGCTGGGACGTGGTAAGGGAAGCCAGATCAGATTTGTCCTTGATGCTAGATGTCTCCCTTTAGAACACAAACAACTCCTTAAAAATGCACAGATGGAACTAAAGAAGAGTAAGAGGAAAGATTACTACAAGATTCTGGGAGTGGACAAGAATGCCTCTGAGGATGAGATCAAGAAAGCTTATCGGAAACGGGCCTTGATGCACCATCCAGGTAGAGCGGTGGGGAGTGGACTCTGTGAGAAGAGCAAGCCAGGCTGGCCCACTGTCACTCAGTCCAGAATGAAAGCCTCAGAGAGGCTCTTCACTGGGAAGAAGGTGTACTAAGTTCAGTACCCTCCAAATTTTGGGAAGTACCGAATTCTTAAGTCAGACATCAACTGGTCTTTCTCTTAAACTTCTTTCTTGAGACTTTGAGACAAGTTCCCTGTACTCCCCCCTGTAGATCGGCACAGTGGAGCCAGTGCCGAAGTTCAGAAGGAGGAGGAGAAAAAGTTCAAGGAAGTTGGAGAAGCTTTTACCATCCTCTCTGATCCCAAGAAAAAGACTCGCTATGACAGTGGACAGGACCTGGATGAGGAGGGCATGAATATGGGTGGTGAGTGGTTTGTGCAACCTGGGAGGCATCTGATAGAATTTGTTTGAAGACACTCCAGAGGGGGAGTTTGTGTAATCAGCCAGTGGTGCGCAGTGATGCGTAAAGCATACCCTTGATCTAGACCTGTGGCATGTGAGGCACTGTCTGGGGTACTAGAAATAATCAGGTTCCCTGGCCTCCGGGAACCCAGGCTAGAGGTTTGCAAACTTCTGCCTGCAGACCAGATCTGACCCCTGATCTAATAGACATGGAATTGAATGAGTGTAATTAAGTGTAGCAGGTGCCCAGGGGCACTCGGGAGTAAGCTTTGTAAGGGAGGGAAGGCATGAAAGTCAGAAAAGTAAACCACCCTAGGAAGTTCCAAGGGGCTCTGTAGGATAGAGGTTGCTTAAGGTGGGCACTGTGGGGAGACCTCAGAAGACCTTAGGGACTGGAGTAAGGGTTGTGGGCTTTTCCTATCGCTGGAACTTCTTTTGTCCCCTACTGCAAAGTGTATTCTGATACTTATTTGCATCATACATTCCTGTAAGCACTCACAGATTTTAATTTCCCCTAAAAGACTTTAGAATGAAGTAAAGCACAGCTATCAACATCGTTGCTCACTTTGAGCTCAGAGATAAGAGAGGCCTTGAACTATGCCCACTTCTCAGAGCTCTGTCTCTAATGCCAACCTCTTTTCCTTCACTAAGAAAAATTGTTGGAATTTAAAACAAGATTGATACTGATCTATAGATAACCCTGACCTCTCCAGTTCAGTGAGAGAGAGAAACCTAGGTTTACCGGTAATGGAGTTATAATCCATCAAGAGCTGGTTAAAAAGAGTTTTAAGTAGGGGAATCATGGACCAGATTTAGGCTCTGGAAATACATTTGTGATGGCAGCAAAGAGGTGGTTTGGAGGAGGAGAATAGCAAGGGAGGGAAGACAGTGGATGGGAAGGACTGGTAGGCACAGTTGGGAGATGGTGGGCTCAGCAGTTGTTGCTGAATGTGTTGGGAGGGGGAAAGGATGAAGCCGAGAGTGGCTCTGCCATGGCAGACTCAGTGGGGCCATTCACGGAGCGAGGGGACCGAGGAAGATGAACAGATGTGCTGGCAAAGAATTCACTTTTTTTTTTTTAATATATTTTATTGATTTTACACATAGAGGAATTGAGAGGGACAGAGAGTTAGAAACGTCAATGAGAGAGAAACACCGACCAGCTGCCTCTTGCACCCCCCCCACTGGGGATGTGCCCGCAACCAAGGTACATGCCCTTGACCGGAATCGAGCCTGGGACCTTTCAGTCCGCAGGCCCATGCTCTATCCACTGAGCCGAACCAGTCCTGGCAGAATTCACTTTTGAACACATGTGCCGGTGGGATTCAGTGGTAGAGATAAATCTTTCTGTGCAACTTAGGTCAGGCAGTGGTTTGGGACATCAGACCTGCTATGGCCTCATGACAAGGGCACAGTGGTGGAGTCAGACAGAAATTGGAATTATCCGTTATTTTGCTTTTACTAACCACATGATCTGGGGCAAATTACCTACCTATGGTCATTGAATATAAATTGGTAATGGTACTTAATCCTGGCAGCCTGTTATTAGGATTAAATGATATATATGCAAAGTACCCAGCACCATGATTGGCACCTAATTAGTGTTTTAATAAGCCACAAGTTTCCTGGAATACAATTTATACAGCATAGAATCAAACAGATATGATAAATTATAGGTCTTATATTTATTCTTGGTAGTATGTGATAAATTTTAGCCTTTTCAATAGCAGCCCCAAGCATTATAGGGAGATAGTGTGGGGAAAGTCTTTGGCATTCCCAGTTGTGGAGAAGAGAGGTTGAGGCAAAGAACGCTCTCCTTTGGGGCTGCAGAAGGGAACAGAAGGGACATGGCCCGGAGTGGGGTCGGGGGTAAGGTTTGCATAGGGTGGGGCAGATTTCCTCACCTCTAGTCTGAAGTTTGGGGAACTGAGGGAAGTGATACTGTCTGAGAAAGCTTTGGAGACCCATTCTCAGTGTCATGATAAATTCCCCTTCAAACACTTATTTTTTTCACCTTTTTGTTCCTTCCCTGTTTCTCACCTTGCCCACAGATTTCGATGCAAACAATATCTTCAAGGCATTCTTTGGAGGGCCTGGGGGCTTCAGCTTTGAAGGTGGGTTTGTCTGCTGTTCTTGGGAGTCCCCTGTGGGGTGGCTGAGGATAGCAGAATTTGATGGGGGGTGGGGGCAGCTGAATTCTCATTTAATGGGGCCTCTGACCCTGTGGGGTGGCTGAGGATAGCAGAAGGGAGGTTTCTGGGCACACCTTGCCTGTTGCCACACCTCCACAGGTTCTGGGAAGCCTGCAAGAGTGGAGGTGCTAGAAGCTACACACACACTCACAACATGCTCGTGTGCTTCCTTACCCCCCAGGGCCCAGGCTGTTTGATACTATCAGAGCTTTTTCTCTGACTTTGGAGCAGCCCTTGGAGACTTACCCATCATCAGAGCAAAGTGATATTTCCTAGAAAATCCAGAGTCAACTAACGAGCCCTTCTTTCCTTACAGCATCTGGTCCCGGGAATTTCTTTTTTCAATTTGGCTAATGAAAGGAAACCATCCAGAACCCAGAACATGCCGACTTGCTCAGTTTAACCTTGAATGTGGACACAGTTCACCTCCTCCCTTCATCATGTCTCCATGTACCTAGAGCAGTTTCGTTTCTCAGTTGGATGCCCTGTGTCTGTGAGTGGGATGGAGGAAAGGGAGCCAGCGCCGAAGACTGCGGGGAGGGGAGGGAGGTGGGAGGTGGACAGGGAGGCAGCTTGTGAATTTTTGTTTTACTGTTTAACTTTATTAAAAAAGAGAGAGAATAAAATGTTTTGATCCTTTCTGGCACTTTGCTCTCCCAGCTGCTTTGTCAGCGGGCCAGAGCCGAGCCCCCAGCACGGACCTAAGGCCTGCATGGTCTTCAGGCTCGCAAGCTGCCCCACAGGGGTGTGGGCACCCAGAGCCTGGTGGCAGGCGGGAAGCTGGCTGCCTTACCCAAACCTGTTCAGCATGGAAGTGCTGCGCAGATGCTGGCCTTGCTGCTGGGCCCAGTCTGTGTCAGTCATGGGAACCGAGCTCAGAAAACATGCTTATTGTGTGGTGGAGGCCACCAGAAGTCCTAGAAGCTGTGTGTACCAAAGCTCACATGGAGCATGGGTGGATGTGTCGGGCCAGGCTAACCTAGACAGAGGTTTTCATAGACTCTCACAGTTCCTCTTGCAGGTTTGAGGGAGATGGAGACGAGGTAAAACCCTGCCTCCTGGACCCAGGGGTCTAGTTGCTGACATTCACCCACAGTTGGAAACTTCATTCTTAGTAAATGCCCTCACTTCTCCACTGGTTTCCTTCCTGATGGGCAGCAAGCTGGAGAAGGGAGCTGTGGTGCCTGTCATGCTTAGTGTTTGTGGTGAGGAATCTGGCTGGGATTTCCAGGCAGACACTAGGGACTTCGTCTGAAAAGGGTTTTTGGTGCTTTGTTGGTAGAGATGGTGGAGCAGACCTTGGGCCAAACAGATAACATGATTTCTCTTCTCAGAGCCCCTGCCTTCTTCTTTCCCAGTCCTCCCCTTTGGTGCCAAGGCCACGATGAGGAGATGACTGATGTAGGCCTAGGAAGTCCCCTGTGTAGCTGTCCAGGCCGTTGTTGGCTGGAAGAGATTGGCGGTCAGGCCCTCCCTTGTGTTGAAGCACCACTGACCTGGGGAAATCCATACTAGGAGTTTGGGTCTTGCTTCTCTGAGAAGTCTTTCGTGTGTTTTTTTTGTTTGGGTTTTTTGTTTTATCTTTCCTAAGAAGTCTTTCTGATTGGACTGGGCCGAAGCTCTGTGCTCTGCATCCCTCTTACCCAGCCAACCCCCACTTTGTGTGTAACACCAGCCTCTCTCCTTTCTGTCTCCTCATGAAAGCAACACTGTTCGGCTGCCCAGCCTCGTCACAGCTGTGGCCAGCCAGCAGTGGGGAGACAGGACCGATGGCCCCAAGCTTGGAACAAAGACACCCCAGGAAGAAAGCTGGGCACAGAAGGGTGAGAGAGACTGCACACAACTAGGATTAACACGATTTATTTCATTATCAGTATTACAAGTTACTGAGGTTGGGCAAAGCAGGATGGTAACTCAAATCCCAAGCACTTCTGTCAAGTGACAACCTAGTTAGCAAGGCTCTGTTACTGAGCAGAGGGTAGTGGAGGGCACCCCAGGAACCACAGCCCATGTAGCAGTGTTAAAACCTTCCCAAAAGCACTGGGTGGGGCTCAGCCCTTACCAGCCAGGAGCCCACTCCATTGGCTCTTGGTACCCACCAGCCCCCTTTAGAGGCGGCACACAGGCCTCCAGAGGCACCGAAGAGGCAAGATGGGCTGGGCAGACTGCGAGACCAGAGCTTCCCCTCCACGCACTGCCTCTGGCCTCGGCCTCCCATCCCCTTCCTGGGGTGAGGCCAGCACCTGGGGTGTGGTTGCTGCTTACTGGTCTGTTTCCTTTGCTAGCTATCAAACTGTTACCTAGTTACAGTGTGAAGGAGGGGACAGGCACTTAAAAGGTTAACCCCTTTTCTACCCTGATAGGCAGCCTCAGTCTTCCAGAGGCTGCGCTGATTAAGAAATAGAACCAAAGCCCAGGGACCCTCCCCTCTCACTCCCAGCACCAGGGCCCAGGGCTGAAGGGAGTGGAGCCCTGAGGTCTCTCCCACTAGTCAGCTCAGACAGGGCTCATGGCTGTGGCTATAGCTCCAGGCCCAGCTTGGCCTTATCAACTCTGGTCCAGATTTCTGAATGGTACCTGCCCCCTCCCCTTTCTGTTGAGAGCTTGAATTAGACAGGAAGAGGGTAGGCAGAAAAAGAGGGACAGTTATTTTACAAGTTTTGAAAAGTTACAATGTTAAACTGAATAAAAAAAAGTCTTAAAGATCAGAGGGCATGCTTTCTTCTGCACCCCCTTCCCTTCTAAAGGGGGGCACCTGAGTGGTGAGAACACTCAGTTGATGGTGCAGGACTGAAAGACACCCCCCTTGCGACCGCCCTGTGTGGGCACAGCCTTGCCCTTCCCATAGTAGCCCGTGAAGATGGCCCTGACCTTCAGATTCTTAGTCAGGTTCAGCATCCAGCGCCCATTGCCCAAGGAGAAGAGCTTGCCCCGGGGTGTCTCACCCACCTCCTCTCCTCGGCTGCCCCCCTTCTCCTGCCGCACAATCTCCAGGAGGTCGATGCCAGTCTGCACGGCCTCCACGCCCTCCGCGCAGCCTAGGGTGATGTGGGCGCGGCTGCCCAGGGGCAGGCTGTCAGAGAGAGACAGCTTGTCCACGTCATTGGGCCACAGCGGCAGCTCCTGCTCGCTCAGCTCCACCCGGGCGCCCGTGGTCTTGGGCGTCACAAAGAGGGCAGAGATGGTCAGCGTGAAGGCCTTGGAGTAAGACTTCTTCACCACCTGCAGAGACAGAGAATGAGGACTAAGCTGCAGGTGGTGGCCTCCAGAGAGGACAATGTGAAGCATGGGTCAGCCGACAGGTGAGCACAGCTGGGCGGAGCCCTTTGGTAAAAGGCATGTCATCCATAAATATCACTAACAGCCTGTGTGGTGTTGGGGTGTTTTTTCCACTGACTTCAGGCTAATGTGAACAAAACAAGGTCAGCCTGGCCGGTTTGGCTCGGTGGATAGAGTGATGGCCTGCTGACTGAAGGGTCCCATGAAGGGTCCCAGGTTCGATTCTGGTCAAGGGCACATGCCCAGGTTGCCGGCTCGATCCCCAGTAGGAGGCGCACAGGAGGCAGCCAATCAATGATTCTCTATCATCATTGATGTTTCTATCTTCCTCTCTGAAATCAATAAGAATATATTTACAAACTAACAAACAAAAACCAAGGTGCCAGGGAGGCAGAGGTTAAAAGCCAGACTTCCTGCGTTCAGAATCTAGTCCCTCCCTCCCCTCTTAGAGCTGCAGGGCTTTGAGCAAGCTGTTGAGCCTCTCCCCATTGGCTTATTCATCTGTAAAGTGGAATGGAACCCATCTCCGTGTGAGCATTAAAGGAGTGACTGGGTAAAGAGCTTAGAACAGTACTGGACCTGGTCAGTATAGCTCAGTGGTTGAATGTTGACCTGTGAACCAGGAAGTTGTGGTTTGAATCTCTGTCAGGTCACATGCCCAAATTGCAGGCTTTATTCCCAATGTGGGGTGTGCAGGAGGCAGCCAACCAAGGATTCTCTCATCATTGATGCTTCTATCTCTTCCTCTCCCTCTGAAATCAATAAAAATATATTTTAAAAAAGAACAATGTCAGGCACATAGTGCTACTGTCATGAGTGCTTTCCCTGGTTATAGCTACCCCGATAACCAGGCCATAACCTGGAGGGCAGGGCGAGGTGAGAAATAACTGCCTTGAGCAAAATCTTGCTTTACATCTGATTGCACACCTGGTTATATCTGTTTCTCTGAGAAAGCCCATTTGACCATAAAAGCTGCTCTATTTTTGCTCCCTGTCCTTCGTCCCAATGGTGTCTAGCACATAAAAGATGCTTAAGACATACTGCTAAATGAATGGTTAGAGATGGTAGTAAAAATGTTATACGCTTATTCTTTTTAATACCTTTTTATTGATTTCAGAGGAGGAGAGGGAAAGATAGAAATACCAATGATGAAAGAGAATCATTGATCAGCTGCCTCCTGCCGGCCCCCACTGGAGATCAAGCCCGCAACCCGGGCGTGTGCCCTAGACTGGAATCAAACCGGGGACCCTTCAGTCAGCAGGCCAATGCTCTATCCACTGAGCCAAACCAGCTAGGGCAATATACACTTATTCTTGAAGCTAGGCTAGGTGCCGGGAGGAGAGGTGAACCTAAATAAAAATGTTCGCCCTCAGGGGTCTTCCTTTTCAGTGGGAGACCAATGACCACACAAGTAAACTGGCTACATTAAGCTAGGCAGAGAAGAGGGAGGCGATGGTGGAGGGTCAGGGAAGGCCTTGCTGAGGTGACCTGAAGGAGGCTAGAGACAGCCATGTATATCCCAGCAACAGATCTCCATGTCGCTGTGGGCGAGGATACCAGTTGTGAGGTGAAGGAACGGGTACCCCCAAGCCAATAAACCTCACTATTCTAGGACACTTATTACTTGGGGACAAGGCCAGGCCTCAGACCTAAGGACAGAAACCTCAGCACCAGGCTCCCTCAGGACAAGGGACTCCTAGTCTTTGAGACTGAATGGAGGCTTACAGAGGCCAGAGCAGCAGTCTGCTCCCAACCAGCATTCTCCATTAATCTGCAGGAGAACCAGCACTGGTGGGCAGGCCTAAGACTGGCAGCACTGGTGGGCGGGTGGGCCCCAGAAAGGGTGCCTGAGGTGTGTGCAATAAGCCATCAGAGGGGGTGAGCTGGGCATTCATTTTTCTTGAGCTGCCATCTTGTTTTTTTTGTCTTAAGCCAGTACCACCTCCAGAACCCTGTCCCCTCCCCGCTTCCCCCCGTGTCCCTTTGCAGCACTCACATCCTGCTGGGCGTACTCCTCAGCCCCGGCAGCCTTCCCGTAGTCACAGAACTTGGTTGTGCAGTGCAGCACGCCGGGGGGCCTCTTCCCAAAGTAGGCGACCAGGTCAACCTTCTCCCTGTGCTCGTCCCCAGGGGCAACTGCAGGGGAAGAGCAGAGTGAGTCAGGGCAGGAGAGCATTCCAACATCGACCACCAAGACCATCGAGGCCGAGAGTTACACAAACCTCACACGAAAATTCTTGAGCCCTGGCCAGGTAGCTTAATTGGTTAGAATATCATATGCCAAGGTTGCAGGTTTGATCCCCAGTCAAGAATCAACCAGTGAATGCATAAATAAGTGGAACACCAA